CAAGGTTTGATTAGGTGTCTGGAAAGCCGTACCAGTAATTAGAGGTGCAGATGGGAACGCTGCTCAGCCCAGGGAGACTGCTTTCCAGGTAGTCCGTGGATGGATGCCAGGCTAACATAACTTCCAGGAAGAGAGGAGTCCTGCTGAGGAGTCATGCTGAATTGCAAAATATCCTTGCTCCTGAATTCTCATTCCCCTTGCTCCCCAAGCAGATGGAAATGCCAATTTTTGCCTTTGATTGTGTTCATCTTGTATTAGTTTTAGGAGTCTTGCTCCCATTTGTTACAGCTGACAAAAATCTATATAGCTGTTCAAAGGCATTCTGAAATTTAAAGAGTTGATATATCAGACACCAAAGAAGCTTTTTCTTCCATCCATGGCACGATATAGATTCTAGTTACTCTGCTTATTAAAATTTGAAGGAAAATATTGTATTCAGTCTTTAGTAGTCTGAAACTGAGATGAGTCATTCTAGGAAAGTTCTCTGTATGACTAGAAACAACTTTTAAATTTTTTGATTCTGATTTTTTTCATATGTAGGAAAATGCAGATGTGAACACACTAGCGCAGCGTGTTTACATGTTCTCTGCTGAATAGTGGCGGTGCTTCGTCCCTTCCCAGGCCAGACGCAACGTAGGGCTCCGAGTTAAAAGTCACATTGCTTTTCTTTTGCCACAGGAAATGATATACTGCTGCTCATTCTGCTCCCTGCAAATTTGTGGCCTAACATAGAAAAAGCTGTTTATTTACACCTAACGTTTTAAGTCGGGAGAGATTGTCAGCTGAACCTGGGTGCTTGGGTTGGCCTATCCCAGCAGAGCGTTCCTCTGAGGAAAGGCCTAATTGTAATAGCTTAATTATTCCTGCACTGTCCTGTGTACGTTGGAGGGACCAGGCTGTGACGCTTTCCCTGTGGGCCACTAGGTTTCCCTGTCGGTTCGGGGACCGTGTGTTGTTCCTCGAGCGAAGGGCCCGGCGGGTCGGCGTGTCCCCCGTGGCCTCAGCATGGGTGCGCTCCCGCCAGGGCGGCTCGCCGGGAGCCCCCGGCCCAGATTTCCCGCACCCATGACCACCTGCCGGAGGACTTCCTAGCAAAAACACCTGGGCCGCGAGGGGACCCTGAGCGGCGTTATGCAGACAGCGCGTTGTGCACGTTCACGGGGGTTATAAAATGCATGAGATCATTAAAAAAAAGGAAACCAGACGTTGTAATGCAGCGCTGTGGCACACCGTGTGCTCTCTGTAAATGGATGTCATCTGTTAAGATTAGCCCGCAGCCGTGCTGCCCAGCTCCCGAAGGGAGATGCTGGAAGGAAAGAGCTGCCTTCGCTTTCGGACGGAGGGAGGAGTGAACACCGGATTAAACCTAGAGTCAGTGGAGCTGTAATTAGAAATGGAGCAGAAAAGGGCTCCAATCCGGCGCGTGGCCCTCCGGGGCTCTCGGCTCTCCGCTGGCGCTGCAGGAGCCCTGGGCGCCCCGTGCGGCTCGGTCCCGGCAGCCCCGCGCCGGCGCCCTGCACCGCACCGTGGTTCGGGCAGAGCTGGGTCACGCTTGCAGCAAACCTCAAACCGCTCTGGAGCGCCCTCGAGCCGACTGATGCGTTCACGTGAAACGAAGCAGTTGCCTGAATTCTGCTTTGAATTTGCGGGTTTTTCGTATCTCAGCACTCCTGGAAAACGAAAGTGAAGCGAAGCAATCGCTCCGGCCTGGAGCAAGGAGGCCGGGGTGCCTGGACCCGCTGGCCGGGTGGCCAGGCAGTTCATCCCTTCTGTTCTGTATGTGGAAAGTGAGAAAATCTACCTGTCCGTTCCTTCTGCTCACAGTGAGCTAGTGAGCCAGGATAAAACAAGTCTGTTATTACCTGTTTATGTGTTTACTATTAATCTTTATTATTGTTAATAATAATAATGATAATCACTGTGATTTTAAAAGCTACACCTTTCTTTTAAGCCGAATGAATAACACAAATGAGACAAATAACTGCACAGTGACACCAGCAGTAAATGGGACAGTCCCCCAGACGCACGCAAAATATGCAGAGCAAAAAGAGAAGCGAGGAAAGTGTGGCCATGGTATATATAGCCTTTATATTTGGGTCTAACGAAGTGGAATGTGTATATGTTATTTAGAAGCAAATATGGTGCTGTAGCGCTTGCCTGTGGTAGACCCCCACAACTAATACTTCTGAAAGAAAAACACTGCTTTTGGGTATGATCAGACATGTGCAAGCTACCAAATTAGACAGGTAAAGAAGTATTCCTAGTTCATCGTGACACAAAGTAGAGCAGTTTAGCTTAAACTGGGAAGGATGTACTTCATTTGGTTGTAAAATAGGCGATTGTATGCAGCATCGATTGGATTGGCATATGGTTATTCTTTTTACTATTTAATGAGTGTTATTTAAAAATAATAATGGATAGAAGACAGACCATTCTTGATAAAACCAAAGCCTCTTCTAATATCCCCTCTGACTTTGGCTGTTAACAGATGCTTAATGAAGAACGTAAGAGCAAGGCAGATATGCAGAGATATTTCTCCTGGCCCGCATGCCTGCTTCCAGCAGTCTGTGGATTTACTCATCTTGCTAAGGATTGTATCTTGTATTTAGTAGTCCCTGAGGCATTTTGCCTTGCAACTCTGTGTAGGTGCTCCCGGAGCCGACGTCGGCGTTTGGCATCTGCGGCATGCCCCGGTGCCGAGCTCAGGTCCGTGGTGGCCTCCACAAAGAAGGGCCATTAAAATTACCTGCTTTGCTTTGAGCCTGTCACCTGGTAATTATATTTGAGGCCACACAGTTGCCGTGTTAGGAGAAGGAATGACAGCTCATCCCCCATTCGCTCCCTCCACGCCGCTCCGATCTGCTTGACTTGCTGCAA